TGGTATGTGGATGGCCTGGCTCTGCTCAGCTCCTCCCTTTGCTTTCACTAATCTCAGATAGGCTGTGAGCTGAGGGCCGGGGCAGCGCCTCATTGCCCAGGGTCAGGCTCTGCCCCCAGGCCCTCATCCAGTCTGGAAGACTCTGTGTACCCACAGAGACAGCTGCAGTGGCTTGGGACACTGGAATTTGAACCTCTGTCTTGAGTGCTGGCCAGACCGTCATGTGAAACCTCGGGATATTCTGTGATCTCCCTACCAGTATCCCATAAACCCAGAGAAGTGAATGCAACCAAACAACCTTCAAGCCCCAGAGAGCTCCTGCCCAATGTACAGGCTCTAATAGGATCCTCCTGCCCCTCCACAGGCCCACACACACCCGGGGAGCCCCCTGGACCCCCTGGCTGTCACTAGTGAGCAGGGCAGGAACCAGCTATGCCTGTGCTTGGCTGAAGAGCAGCGAACCCAGCAGCCTGGCAGAGCCGCGCTGCAGAAATCATCCGGCACTATGTAGGTCAACACTGGCAGCTGTGAAAAAATAATGTACTGGGGAATGCAGGAGAGAGAGAGGGAGCTGCAGGCTGAGCTGGAGAGGGTGGACAGAGGGTGTTGGCATGATTAACCTTCCTGACAGGCACTCTTGATTTACAGCACATGTATGAGGTACTAGACTAGAAACATGCATCAGTTACCTTATCAGAATATATAGACATGCGTGTTGTCAGACCAATGACAGGGATCCTGTAGAAGCCAGCTGTGTATGATACAGGTGTTGGTGTTAGGTGATCGTTGGGAGCAGGAGGGTGGCTAACTAATATTGCATAGACCTGCAGGACAGGATACATGACACAAACATTATTTCACAGGAGCACATCAGCTGTCCAGCATGATTTTTTTTTTCCTTTTCTTTTCTGCAATGTTAAACAGCCCCATGTTAACACAATAACGGCATTGAGATAACTGGGAACAGGGAAGCAAGGACTGTGCTGGGAGCTGTGCTGTGGCTGGAGGTGATGGGTCTGCTCAGGGTTATATCCTAATGGAAATGCTGTGCCTACCAGCTCTGCTCAGTAAACTAATAACTTCCATGGATTACAGATTAAAGGGAAACATCTCCCTTGCAGTCACACTGTGTAATGTGATTTCTTTAACCACACATTTAATACTCAGTTGTAATTCCCCTCTGAGGACTATTACAAACAAAGTGGTCTGCTGGGACTGCGGCGGGAGCACAGAGCCATGGAGCAAATCAACCATCTGGCCCTGGGCACAGAAATGAGAGAGCTGGGGGGGCAGGAGCTGGGATCTGCCCTCAGCATGCCAGGGAGAGGGGATCTGGGTTTTACCAAAACGGGGAAGGACGATCTTGGCAAAATCCTGCTGTTATTGCAGGGCTGGGACTTTGGTCTCCAGCAGGATCCTATTTTGTGTCAAATGGAAAGGAAGGAGATGGATAATCTCTGGGGGATCTTTTGTTACACCAATGCCCTCTCACAGCACAAGGAATGTCCCCAGCCGGTGACGGGTCTCCAGCGAGGGTGAATCTGTGCAAGGACTTTGATGTCTGGGAGGAAATAACACTTCTTCCTCCCCCAGGCATCTGCCCGAGCCCCAGGCTGGAGGGGCAGGTCACCTGAACAGGAGAGGAGGATGAAGCGTTGCCTGAGGAAGGGGGCCTGGGGTCTGGGGGGAAGAGGGACGATCCCACCTGGCATTGGGTGGGAATAAGTTGAGGGTGCAGAGCAAGCTGGGGCAGGGGCTGGAGACCTTATCATGGGAGAAGAGGAATTGCTAGAGAAGGAGCTGGGGGGATCCTGGGGAGGCAGGAGGAGGGGATGCCCAGTGCAGCTGCCCGGTGCCGTGCTGACACGGGGTGGGCGAGGACCTGCATCCAGCAGAGCTGGGGCACGGCCCTGGGACAGCACCAGGCTCTGGGGGTAGGGGCTGGGGGCTGTGTGGGGGCGAGGGTTGTGCTGTGCCACACAGCAGCTGGTCGACGGGAGCCATTTTACATTCGCGGGATCCCAGCCCCTCCTCAACCTCGCAACCCCCTTGCTCGGGCACAGCGCCAGCGAGCGAGGACCGAGGGTGGCCGTGCCCTAAGCCCCTGGGGCTGGGAGAACCTCTGGGTGTTGGGACAGAGCGCCCACCCCCAGCACTCTGACCCCCAGCACCCACAGCCCCCCTGCGCCCCGGCTCAGCTGCCTCCCCATCCCGCCGCTCACGCAGGGATGTGCCAGCGCCAGCCCCGGGCTCCGTGGGGTTTGCCATGGGGACAAGGCTTAGAGGTGGCACGGACACAGGCATCCATCAGCTGCGAGCAGCAAATGGAGCCTCGGCTCAGTGAGGGACCCGCCTGAGCCTTCTCCGGCTGCCGCTGGACAGCGGGGATCTGGTACATCCCGTGCCGCCCGGCTCGGCCACCATCCCAGGCATGTCTCCAGCCACCCTCCCCCTCCACGCTGGGAAGCCGAGCTGCGAAGGTGTCAGCTATTCTCCACTACGCACCTCCGGCCCCTCCAGCTCCCTCCCCTCCTGGCTGTGTGTGCCTGGGTGCATTTCTGTGTGAGGTTCCGTGGTGAGGGCGTTCATACAATTTGGGGGTTGTGTTTGCGCCTTCACATGGGTCCATGTAGACCTTTTGCATGTGCGTGGGTGTGTTGGAGGAGGGGGTGGTTTTGTACCTGCCTGTCTGCCCCCTCGATGGCCCCAGTTGGCGGTACTGGGGCTGGTGACTGGGCTCATCACCCAGAGCTCATGCAGGGGAGGTGGAGAGGCCAGGCCACGGGCTGCCCAGGGCACCCTGGGCACCCAGCACCGCCGAGGATTGGGACTGCTCCCTTGGGTCTGCTGAGAGCAAGCCATGTAGACAGGAGAGAGGATCATGCTGTGCTTATGTGCACAGTCACACACAGCACTCACCATGCCTGTAATCCCTGTGTCCTGGGGGTGTGTGTGGCAGTGGGTGTGCTGGTGTGCAGCACTGGGTGGTGTGGGGGGCTGTGGTGCTGTGTGCCATGGGGGGTGCAGCAATGTATGACCTGGGGGAGTGTGGGGGGGATGTGTACATGAATCACTGTGTGTCTGTGTGTGTGCCTGTGTGTCTGTGTGTATGTTTGTGTGTGTCTGTGTGTGTGTCTGTGTAGGGCACACACTGGGGTGTCATGTGTGCCTGTGGCTCAGTGTGTGCTCCTGTGTGCACATGGAGGTGTGGCACAGCATGTTTGCACACCGGTGTGAGTGTAGATATGCATGGTCTATGTGTGCCCATGTTTGCACAGCAGTGCACCTGTGCTCATGGCATGTGTGTGTGCAGCCTGTGGACATTCCCACAGTGTGTGCACGGTGAGTGTGCATGGATGGTGTTCCCCATGCCCACACCTCCCCACAGTGTGTGCATGCCCGTACATGCTCACAGCCCTCTATGTGCCTGTGTGTCCCCATGATGTGTCTGTGTGTGGTGTATGTGCACACATGGTGTTGAGTGGACATATATGTGCAGCCACTCTGTGCATGCCCAGGGTGTGTGTGTGATCCCTTGTGTGTCCTGAGGGGTGTGTGTGTGTGAGAGAGAGACTGTGTGTGCTCCAGGGGTGTGTTGATGCCCATGTGCACCCTGGGGTGCATGTGTGAGCCCATGTATGCTCTGAGGTGTTGTATGGGAGCCCATGTGAGCCCTGGGGGGTGTACGTGTGGCCATCTCTACCTGGGGGGATGTGGGTGCCTGTGTGTGCTCTGGGGTGTATGTGGGTGTCTGTGTACACCCGATCGGGTGTGCAGGTGACTGTGTGTGCCCCAGAGTGTACCTGGGTGCCCATGTGTGCCCTGGGGAACATGTGGATGCCTGTGTGTGCCCCAGGGTGTATGTGGGTGCCCGTGGGTGCCTGTGAGTGCCCAGAGAGGTGTATGTGGGTAACCGTGTGCACCCCGTCGGGTGTGCGGGTGCCCGTGCGTACCCGAGGTGTGTGCGGGTGCCCGTGTGTACCCCGTGTGTGCGGGGGTGAGTGTCCCGGGGGTGCGCAGAGCGCGCAGTCGGCCGCTCTTACATAAAGGCTGCAATGCGGGCAGCGCGACCCGGACCCCGGGGCAGGACCCGCACGGCGCGGCTCGGCCGGGGGGCTCCGGGGGGCTCCGGGGGGCTCCGGGGGGCTCCGCGGGGCAGGGGCGGGGCGGCCGCGGGGGCAGCGGGGCGGCGGGGGAGGGTCGCCGTCCCGGGGTACCTGGCTGGAGATGAGGTCCTCGCAGACGGACAGGGCCATCTGGATGGCGTTGGGCTTGTGGGTGACGGAGGTGGCGTTGAGCTGGAGCTTCCAGGTGCCGTGCCGCTTGTTGGCCTGGTTCACCGCCTCGCGGAAGATCTGCTCGTGCTTCTTGGTGCTCAGCACCGCGCCGATGTTGACGATCTTCGGATCGCAGCCGGCGCGGGCGAAGGAGGAAGAGAAGAGGAGGGCGAGCAGCAGCAGCCGCATGGTGCTCATCCACGGGCGGCCCGGAGCCCGCCGGGCCCCCCGCGCCCG